ATACACCAGTTTAGCATAATTGACTACATTATACATAGACAGATGTGGAAGGCTGTGAGATGTTGAATGTAGAGGGAGAACTATATTTCTGACCATTATTTTAATACTTGGAGCATCATACTTTATGGTCTTATCTTCCCTAACCAAGCATTCATCTGGTTGTAATTCTGTGCTATGTCTGATTTGGGATGTTCCAATGGTTAGTTTAACATGCCTAGTCCAAGAGCAAGTGTGGTGTAGTGGTTTGAGCATTGAACTATAACTTTGGAGACCAGGGTTCAAATCCCAGCATGGCCATGTAAATCCACTGGGTGACCTTGGGCAAGTCACACTCTGTCAGCCTCAGAGGATGGCAATGGTAAGCCCTCTCTGAAGAAACTTGCCAAGAACACCCCATGATAGGTTTGCCTTAGGGGCACAATAAGTCAGAAATTACTTGAATGCAAACAACAACAGCCCAAGTTGCTTATCCATTTATGGATATATTGGCTCTTATTGGCATACAGACAGTGTGTGTGAGAATGCTTTTAACCCCTCCCCCGCAAAAAAAAAAAAAAAGGAAATGTTGGGCTCTTTGCAATACTATTGATGTGAAAGCCTGGACATGCATTTATATGTGCCTATGCATGCACACACATACAATTTCACTTCAGGGAATGCTGCAAAAGATTTTCCTAATTTTTTTTCCACCACCCATCCCAGTCTCCATATCTCTATCCACTAGAAATATGTGTCTGAAGTCTCTATACACTATGTATATGATGTGCCTCTATACAAGAAAGACAAAATGGTAAAAGGTCTGGAAACCATGCCCTATGAGGAGCAGTTGAGGGAGCTGGGCATGTTTAACCTGGAGAAGAGCTTAAGGGGTGACATGATAGCTATGTTTAAATATTTGAACGGATGTTATATGGGAAAAGGAGCAAGCTTGTTTACTGTTCTAGAGACTAGCTGGAGCAATAGATTCAAGCTACAAGAAAAGAGATTCTACCTTAACTTCCTGACAGTAAGAGCAGTTTGACAATGGAATATGCTGCCTCAAGTTGAGTCTCCTCCCTTGGAGGTTTGTAAATAGAGACTGGATGGTCATCTGTCAAGGGTGCTTTGAGTGTGTCTTCCTGCATGGCAGGGAGTTGGACTGGATGGCCCTTGTGGTCTCTTCCAACACTATGATTTTATGATTCTATTTTATGAAGGCTGCTTCTAGGAAAAAGGGGTGCATGATTTGTGATGAACCAGAGTTGATGTGATGGGGTGTGTGGAATGGGTGTACAGTCCTAATTCTTTATTTATTCATTTATCTGTTTATAGCCCCCTTGATTTCCTATGTGTAGTTCAAGGTGTCTGACAACAATACAACTAAAATCAATTATAATGTTAAGAAACATTTAAAATGTATTCATTCTACAATACATATAGTGGCTGATACTGTGATTTAGCCTGGAGCAGGATCAAAAGTGTCTTGAGCTGGAAATGGATCATTTCTTGTCTAGAATGGCTTTTTCTCATCATCCCACATCCCACAGGAAGGTGGCTTGCAGTGTCTTGAGCAATTGCTTCTATTTGCTCTGTAGTAATGGCAGACTGAGAACTGGGGAAGTGGTTTGCTTTTTTAACTGTTTTGTTTCAATCTGGACATTGCAACTTAACACTGTTTTATTTCTTATGATAATTTGATTGCTGCCTCAAAATAATAACATATTATCCTAATTACTTGTAATTATTTTAACACTTGCATGTTGTTGTTTTCTGTAACTGTCTTCATTGGTTTAATGCATTTACTTGAATATCAACCCCACTATTTTGGAAGGTTGAGAGAGGAGAATAAAAAGAGGTTGGTAGTGGCATCTCAAAGGGGAAAAACACACTACCTTGTGCGATGGGTGCTGATGTTCTCTAGATGTGGCTCTTACATAAACTGCTCACCCACTCAATAATGCTCCAGCAATTTTCCACAGCTTTCCTGTTGTGACTCCATTGTATGAGGAAAATGTCTCTGCTTGAAGACATGATTGAAATATGAATGCCTGTTCATGGGGAATATGTAATGTGAGCAGAACAGGAAGAAAATTAGAAGGAAAATGTGCAAATAGAATTTTAAATGATATTCAAGGTTGTGCTGCTAGGCAAATACTTCCATGCTGCTCTGCTGTAATGGAGGGAAATTATGCTAAATAAAGTTAAGAGTAAAATCATAGTAATTAAAATTGCTGTGACCAATATTTACAAGATTCTGGCATTCTGGCACAGCTCCACTCTGTTTTAAGCTACTCATAATTAGTATGCAAAAATGGTGTAAGGTAGAGAAAAATGAAGGAGTAACTTCCTTCTAATAACTTGTTACACATAATTATCAGGATTATATGCATACCTTCAGTGGCTCACTTTCAGCAATTTTGATGGAAACAGGTGTTGAGCAGGCTTGGTGCTTATTAGCCATTCCCAGTATAAGCTTCCTAAGCTGTATTTTTTTTACCTAAGGAAAAAGGTCTGTGTTGACTGTTTATATGACTCAAATATCCAGGGAAGAAAAGATTAAGAGTCATATTTTAAATCATTTTTTCCTAAAAATAAATGTAGGTATTTGTATCAATAGTGTTGCAAGGAAGCCTTGCACAAGGGAATTCACCACTCTTTTCCTTATGCAGCCCCCGTATCCTGAACAGCAGTAGAAAATAATTTTGTTGGAGTTCAGATTATCAACAAAAGTGTCCATTTTGCAGCTCCTGAGACTTATTGCCAGATACTTTCTCAGAGAGCTGCATGTTTGCAAGCCTTGTGGCACATTTTGGACAAATAAAATACACAGAAAGCCATGTGCATATTATTTTTTATATAAAAAAATTGAAAATCTAAGTGTAGCAATGTTTAATAGGAAAAAATAATGTACAAAATGCCTTCGATGGGAGAAATGCATATAAAAAAATTACTCTTTAGAAAAAACATGTAAAAAATGCGTATAAACTTCCATGCAAGAATAAAACATTTTGGCAATCTGATATAAACTATTGATAGAATGAGACTGCGAATGGGATCAGAGAAACACAATAAAAAGTGAGACAGGCTGAGGTTTTTTTTTTAATATCCCTATTCCTGAAATATTTGGGAACCTAGGGAAAAGGATAGGATGGATTCACTGAGCTGCTGGAGGAGATGGGAATTATCTCAGACTGGCCAGAGCTGTTTTTCCCTTCCACCTGTGGCAGTCCTGTGTGCAGCATCCCATAAAGATGATGGAGATCACAGAACATAGCATTGTATTGGTGGAGCACCTGTTGACAGCCTAGCTTAACCCTGAGGAGATACACTGGGGAAAAGAAAATGGGCCCGAGGAGGGTACATGGATAACTCCATTTTGTAAGCCTTCCTTCTGCTCATGATACCACTGCATGACACCTCATTTTTGTGTAGCAAGACGTAGGACGTTATCACACGTGGGCCAGTTTCGTTGTTAAAGAGATATTAAAGTGGAAATGAAGCATCCCAAAAAGAAAGCGAAAATAGAGCGTAATTGTGCAAAAGCTTTTCACACGTAATTACAGTAATAACAGAATTAAGTTAAAAGTGAAAAAAGACATTTTTAACTTTCATACACAAGTGAAAGGAACCTGTACATGTACTGGAAATGGGTGTGTTTTGTAACAAGACTCCTCCTTTTCCAGGGCGGGTCCTGCATTTCCTAGGAGGAAATGTCAGACTGTCCTTCATTTGGGGTCATGTCCTGCTGCACAGGTCCTAACCCCCTTTCGTTGGGGTTAGGACCTCTCAAGAGAGCAGAGGAGGAGGAGGAGGAGGAGGCTGGAAAGGCAAGGCAAGGGAAGTTGAGGCAAGGGAGAGATTGGGATGGCTCACCCTCCCTTTTCTCTCTCTC